TATAGAGGGCAGCTCTCTCCAGAGGGATTGTAGGAGTATAGAACAGAAGAAAGGGATCAGCGCTCTCTATCTATACAAAATACAACAGAAACAATAATAAATAAGTAAAAATGACGAGATACCAGTGAAAAACACCACCCTTAAGAATAACTCTAATTTTTACCCATCAAGTTTCAAATCTGGCCCGATAGAAGTTTTTGAGAATTTGGTAAAGCAAGACTTAGAAAAAATTAATACCTCCAAAAAAAACAACCACAAATATCATAAATATAACCAATATAACTTAACCTTTCAAGAAAGAAAAGCTCTCACAGATCTTAAAAAAGATGACACAATAGTCATCAAACCAGCCGATAAAGGGGGCGGCCTAGTTATACTCTCACAAGAAATGTACATCAAAGAAGCATTTAGACAGCTTAATGACCCCAAAGTATATGACAAGCTACTATCAGACCCAACCCATACCATCCAAAACTCCCTTATATCATTTTTAACCAAAGGCTTAAATTCCAATATCCTCAACAAAAAAGAATTTGCTTATTTAAATATACCTCATCCAAAAATTCCAGTCATATACTTTTTACCAAAGATACACAAGAATGAGACCAATCCACCAGGTAGACCTATTGTCTCCGGGATCAATTCTGTTTTATCAAACTTATCAGAGTATATTGACATTTTATTACAACCATCAGTCAGACTTATGAGGTCATACTTAAAAGATTCCATGTCTCTCTTACGTTTTTTAGAACATTTTACCTGGCATCCAGATTTTATTCTAGTCACTTGTGATGTCCAGTCTTTGTACACCATAATCCCCCACGAATTAGGGTGTGAAGCAGTTTTAAATAGATTAAAAACGGATAATAAAATTCCAGAAAAACAAATTAATTTTATCTTAGAAGGGATAAAAATGATTTTAACAAATAACTATTTTTGGTTTTTAGACACTTTTTACATTCAAAGACAAGGCACAGCTATGGGTACTAGGTTTGCACCAAGTTATGCCAATCTTTTTATGGACAATTGGGAGTCTAAAGCAATCTGGGGAGATCACCCCTGGAAAGCAAACCTAGTATCCTATTTTAGATACATAGACGACTTGTTTTTTATCTGGAAAGGTCCTGAAACCTCACTTAAACTTTTTTTAAATCATCTAAACAACAACAATAGTGGCATCATTTTAACATCAGAACACAGCAAAGATTTAATAAATTTTTTAGACATCCAAATTTTTATCCAGGATGGGAATATTAACACTAGAACTTTTTTTTAAAAAGTGTGCACCAACACAGTCATTGACAGATCAAGCTGCCACTACCAACCATGGTTAGATGGGGTCCCTAAAGGTCAGTTCCTACGTCTTCGCAGGAACTGTTCCCTTAATACAGATTTTGACGAACAAGCTAGAACACTAGAAGCTCAATTTATCAGCAAAAATTACCCAAAAGAAAAGCTAGAAGAATCCCTCAAAGCAGTGAAACAAAAAGAAAGACTCGAGCTTTTAGAATATAATACGAATAAAAATAAAGACCCACCATCCATACCGATCATCTTTAACTTTGACAATAAGAATAAAATTGTGAAAAAAACTATTCAAAAACACTGGCACATTTTAAAACAAGATGAAATTTTAAAGACACTCATCCCAGATAAACCCCATATCATTTTTAGAGGGGCCCCAAACCTAAAGACAATGCTTACTAAAAATTATACAAAAAAAGCCAATACAAGCAATCCATCATTTTTATCAAATTCTAAAGGTTTTTTCAAATGCAACAGATGCATTGTCTGCAGATCCACTGACCAAAACAGCACATCAAAGACAACACAATTCACCTCAAACAAAACCAGGTATTACATACCCTATTAAAGACTTAATATGTTGCACTACTAAGAATGTTGTATACCTATTGGAGTGCCCATGTGGCCTCCAGTATGTGGGTATGACCACACGATGCTTAAAAATAAGGTTAGCAGAACATTGTAGAAATATTATCAAAGGCTACCCTAATCACTCTGTTTCAAAGCATTTTATCCAACACAACAAAGACCCTAAATTTTTAAAATGTACTGGGATCCAAAGATGTAAATTACCCTGGAGGGGAGGTGACCTCAAAAAATTACTGGGACAAAAAGAAATGCACTGGGTGTTCCTTTTAAAAACCCTTACCCCCGAAGGTCTTAATGTAGAGTTCGACCTGTTTAATTTTTTATAATTTTTATAATTAATTTTTTATAATATATTTCTTATATTTTATTATCTTTTATAATTATTTTGTGCATGAAGTACATATTTATACAATGTGACTTATATACGTGACTGTTCTATTTAAATAATATGCAAGGTATTGTGAGTATAAAACCTTGTTTTTAATTTAAATTTTAGACTATCACATGTCTCCAATATAGGTTTGTATTCACTGATACATATAAAGTTTAGCACTTTAAAAAAAAAAAAAAAAAAATGGCCACCGATCATGTGACTGTTGTATCTAAATAGAATATGTAAGGTATTGTGAGTTTAAAACCTCGTTTTTAATTTTAAACTATCACATGTTTTACATATAGGTATGTACTCACTTACACATATAAAATTTAGCACTTTTGAGAAAAAAATAAAAAAAAAATTATGACATCATTTTGGCGCCATTTTCTAATATGTTCACTGCCTATATAAACCTGTATGTAACAGGATGTACTTTCTGATCTCCACTTGATAAAGCCTAAGGGCGAAACGCGTTGTGGTTTTTTAAACTATATTGTTTTAAATAAAGGTATTTTGGCCACTTTCTTACTGTGAGTTAGCCATCTTACTTTTTATTACTATTATTATTTTACTTTTTTATTACTACCATCCTTTTATCCGGCACAGAAGTGTTTTTACTTTCCAGTGAGGATATTACTCCCAAGAATCCTAGGTGGGGATTATACCACTCAAGCTGTATTCATTGAACAGTCAGTCTGTTCAACTAAATGTGAGTAACCACTTGGTTTTTTATCTTCTCACCTCTGGCATTTTATACTTTGAGCACCATTGTTGTTCCTGCTTTTATTTCCACATATGGTCCCCTAATCAAGAAAGAATACTAAGACCTCACGTATCCCATAAGTGGGGATTATACCACTGTACGTTATCAACACTAGAGCTAAGTCCATAGCTCTTGAAAACGTGAGTAGGACCATATACTCTTTTATTGCTTCTACCCCTTTCGGGACATACTATACCATCAGTTGTTATTTTTTCATTTCATATGATGTACAAAGACGCATCTACACCACTCTGAAGAATCCCCCACTACAAAAGACTGTATTCACCTCTACAAGGATATACCTCGTTGTTTGATTCATCTACCAGTAAGACTATTTATTCTGGACTTCTATTTTGCTTAGTATCTATCATATATATTGTATTCTAGTCTGCCTATTCTGTGCTCTTTTAATTTATGTGGTTTATAGTGGCGCTGCCTTCCTTTCTTTTTTCTGTACCATTTCTGTTGTAAGGCCT